AACCATTATACCCTGATTTCCCATTTTCAATGGGTTCAGGGTATAAAAAGAGCAAAAAATGCTTTAATTGTCGCTCAAGTAGCCCCTGCCACGCCCCCTACTGCTGCTGGCCATGGCAGCAACAGTTTCGCTACATTTTTTTATTTATATTTTGTTGTTGTTGTTGTTGCTGCTGCTGCTGCTGGTTTGTGACTTTCTTTCCGCAATAAACGTAAAAAGTGACACCCACAGCACGCCGGCATACAAATGCGAACAATTCGAGCGGTCATCATCGTTGCCAAGATCTCGCTCCTCTACCCGCTCCGACAAGCCCACCCCCTCACACTCTTCCTCTTCCTCTGCCTCTCCGGGCAGGTAAGAGCCCCGTCGACGTTGACGTCGTCTGCCCGACAAAATCTCAAAGCACAAATTCACAAATCGCGCTTATGAAAGAAAACAATAGCAATGCATAAATTATGTGAAAAGAGAAATAATAAACGGCAAGAAGAAGAGAAAAACAAAGACAGAGAGTGAGAGAGGGAGAGAAAAAACAATTAAACAAATTATGCATCGCGTAAATATTTGTAATAATTGTTGTAAAATCGCCGTCGAGTCACTGGCCAAGCAATTGGGTCAAATCTACCGGCAGCCAGACGAGAGATAAAACTAACTATGGACAACAAAAGCAAAAGCATATAAAATAATTAAATAATTTGACCAACAGCAGCAACAACAACAAGAAGCAACTGAGAGTTATGCAATATTCCATCCACTATTATGAGTCTTTGCCAAAAGTTTGTTATTGTTTCTCTGTCTATCTATTTTATTTCGACTATTCATGAGTCTGGCTTCTCGCTTTCGTCCGATTACCATATACCCTGTAATAGAGCAGCGTTTTATCCATTAGTTTTGTCGCAGCGTGAGTGCTGCAAGCGTGTCCAACCGCGTTAATGGCTGTGAAAATCCAACACTTTGACTTTCTGCACGGAAGTGGGGACAAATGACGCAAGCGCCAGCTGGTTTATCAATCGAATCACGCTTCAGCCGATGGCAACTTACCCTGGAAGTGCAGCTACCTATATACATACATACATATTTATGTCGGGGCATCCTTACAAACTGAAAATCATTCGAATCCTTTTCTTGATGCAGCAGATGCCTTGCAGCCGCTGTGCACTGCTTGAATGTTACAGATGCTAAAGTTTTTTTTAACAGTTTGATGGTCATTCGAAAATGGCCATGCGAATGCAGCAGGAAGGCAGCAAGCAGTGCCAAAGGGTACATGAAAAGGCTGCTCTGATGTGAACTGCTTGACAAATGAGCTATTAAATATCATTTGCATTGACTTTAACTTTGCAATGATTTGAAAGTAACAAAAAATAATGTAACATTTTCTGTAACTATTCAAAAATGATGTATATATGTATGTATATTTTATAAAGCTATAGAAAATAATGTATTCTATTTAGCGAATTTTGCTTGTCAGCTTGTGGGGTACTGGAGTAATGACAGCAAGCAGTTAGTATTTTACAACACATTCAAATTGGAATTAAAAAACTATTTTATTAGACTGTTGATAGTTTGTGAGGAACTGGAAATTTCCATCCTTCTGCAACAAGCAGTTCTATGGATTGAACCTCACTTCGTACGTTTTGCCAAACTAAGCACGAAATGGAGCTCTAAAATGTATTATTTATTAAAATGAAACAAATTAACTTTTTCATTTTCCATTAATTTGTCCTAGAAGTGTTTAAATTTCTTTTACTAGTATATTTATGTCAAATATTTATATACGCCATAGTGTTTGGTCTTTATATGGAATCCGTGCCATGTGCCTTCCGTTTCACCTTACAGTTTGAGGACTGCACCAATTAGGCATCCTTAAGCAGCAAGCAGTGGTGTTCACTGCTTGACACTTTGCATGCTTGGCCCGAACGAACGAATCGGAATTCATATTTGAAAATTCGCCTGTCAATTTCAATTGATTGAAAATTACGTTACGTTGTAGCCAAAATTGTACGTATTGTCAAAATTGACGTATTGCTAATTCACATCAGATCAATTCAGATCGTACGAGATTCCAGAATTGAATGGACCACAAAGCGATGGCGTGGTCGAACCCCAGCTTGACGCAGGGCGTGCGAACGGGCGAGGTGGCGCCTGATATAAAAGCGTGGCAACGCATCAATTGGCCCTTGTGCAGGCAGGCGGGCATCTTCAAGGACTGGGCGTCACGGCTGCGCACCAAGCAGGCGCTGGACTACTTCAGTCGCTCCCTCTCCATATGCCAGACTGAGGGGCAGGGCGCCTGCTGCAGGAACAGCCTCACGGCGCTGGACCACCACAGCTGCTACGCAACCGAGGGCAAGTACTGTCAGATGGCCGCCGATGCGCTGGCCAAGCGTAGCTTCTTTCGGCGGGAGATGGCCCAGCCGGAGCTGGCGCTCGAGGATGCCCAGAAGGCGCAGGACTTGTTGGCGCACCAGGGTAAGTCGAGGCTTAGCAACGTGCTGAACAAATGCGACGCGATGTTCGAATGCAACCAGTTCGAAGAGAATCTCATGCAGCTCCACATCGAGAAGCGCAACTGTCAGACCAGCACCGCCAAGCATTGCTTCGAGTACCGAGCAACCCACGTGAGTTAAGCAGGTTCGCTTGACTGAGATTCTTAGACCCAATCAGACGCAGTTTCCCTTCCGATTAGACAACGAGTGTGCTCGAGGGCAGCTTGGGCGATGCTCTGTATCCCTTCATGCTGCACAGCTGGCCCCTAGTCGTGAGGCTGGCGCGCTCTCGGCGCACCCCAGCGGCCTTCATGCCGCGTCCCATCTGGCAGCTGAGCGAGAAGCGGGAGTGCGACGTGGAGAGCCTGGGGGAAAAGGAGAAGGCGGACTACTCGCCGCTGGAGCAGGCGCAGCTCCGCATGCGCAAGAACGCCTACAACTCCCAGTACTTGCGCCACAGCGCCCGAGATCTGGGCATGCTGAAGCAGCTGCAGACGAGCCTCACCCTGCCGCACCTCCAATCTCAAATCTCCACGCCCTACATGACTGAGCTGCTCGCCGAACAGTCGGCCATGGTGCACAAGTTCATGGTGAGAATCTGTCTGTCCTCTTGACCCCCCAATTGACTCACTGTCTCACCGTCTCTCTGCAGAAGATGAGCCACAACCGCAGCCCGCTCTATCAATGCAGGTATGAGAAGTGCCGCGACACCAAGATCTGCGAGCGCAATCAGCAGGAGGCCCTGCTTCGCATCGAGTACCAGACGCGGCGCGAGTGCTTCCGGATGCTGCGCGAAGTGCGCAAGCGGCGGCAAGAGCGGAACATCGAACGCCTGACAGACTACGTCGAGCACATCATGTCCACCAGCCTTTCGTTCAAGACGAATCGCACGCTGCCCTGGAAGTGGGAGTTCATCAACGAGGTCTACAACATCCTGGCGCTGGCCCACATCGATCGCTGTGCCTTGCCGAAGAATGTCGACTTCCTGGATCTCCAAAACCATTCCATTCTCTACCTGCTGACGACGGAACGTGCTAACGGACAGATCCCTGCCGTTAGCTTCGGCGATCGCAATATTTACGCCGAAGCCGACAGAGAAAAGGCGCGACAGAGTCGCATGGTGTAAGTATGATTAGAAATTTAAATACATTACATTACTTCATTTTATTTCACTTCGCTATATCTCATTTCATTCCACCTCATATCATTATATCCTATTCCCTCCTTATTGCTTTAGTCCATTTAATTTCTTTCCATTTTATAGAATTCCATTCAATTCCATTGCATTTTATTCCATTCAATTTCATTCCGTTCCGATCCAGTCTATTCTATTCCATTCTATTCCAATTCATTATATTCCACTCCATTCTTTTCCATTCTATTATATTCCATTTCCTATCATTTCACTCCATCCCATTCTCTTTAATTTAATTTCATTCCATTGGTGTTCATTCAATTCCATTCCATTTCATACCGTTTCATTTCATTCCGTTCCATTCCATTCTATTTCGTTCCATGCTACTTTATTTCATTTCATTCCCCTAAATTACATTTTATTCAATATTATTTCTTTCCATTTCATTCCGATCCAGCAAGAAAGTCGAGCGTCTGTGCAGCCGCCTGAAGCACTCGCGCTTCGGCATAGAGCGCACGTATCTGAAGTTCGAGATCGCGCGCTGCCACTTGAAGACGTCCTACTTCGACAAGGCGTTGATAATGGCACAAAAGGCGCTGCTTGGTAAGCTGCAATTAGATTTTGGAGTTGAGTTTCCAGTTGACTAACGTAGCTTTGCCGGGGGCCAACAGAGGCGCGCAACTGTGGCAGCACCGTTTGGCGCTTCAATATCACCTTTCTGATCTGTCAGGTGTACGCGATCTTGCACCGCTTCCGGCGACTGGGCGAGACGCTGACCTGGGCCAGCCACTTGGCCGAACGACTCAAGTCGCCCAAGCTGCGGGCCTATTTGGCTCTCTGCCAGGCGGTCAACGACTATCAACTAAACTTTGCACACCGCCATGAAACGGAGCACAATTTCAGGGACCGCAGGCGCAAACAGCCATCGTACAGCTCAATTGAGTCGACTGACTACACTGGGGAAATATCCTACTAAGTAACTCAATGAACACAGCAGCAGCATCAACAGCAATAGCAACAGCAGCATCAGCAACAGGAGCAACAGCAACAGGAGCATTGGGCCAACTGCTTGATAGGGCTGCACTGCTTGCCCTCTGCTCCAGTTGCTGTACAACTGTTGTTGCTGCTGCTGCTGTTGCTCGTCTCGAAATGGTCTCCATTGTAATGTTGCCTTTTGTGTTTCTTCATGTTTGTATTTATTTTTCTTTCGCTCACTTTTTATTCGTTTGTCATTATTTACAATAGCAATAAATAATTAATTAACAAGCTTTTAGCTCGAACAATTCATTAACGCCCTTCATTAACATTCCTTGCGCCAGTCGCTCTCGACTGCTTGGCCCCTCCCTTCCAGTAGCTCTGCAACTGTTGCTCAAAATTTTCTTTTGTGTTGCATCATTAATTTATTAACTTTTTGTTTTCATTCGCTTACTCTTTTATTTGTTTGACTTTTTTTCTACAGTAGCAATAAATATGTATAATTTAACAAGCGTTTAACATTAACAATTCATTAACAATAATAATAATAAATAAATTAACAATCAGCTGTTGCAGCAATTAAATGCCGCTGCGCTGTCGCAAGCGCAGGCGTTGCAGTCGTCGCGGCTGCTGTTGCGGCTGCTGCAGCTGCTGTTTAACCTCAGTCCCATTTATATTCCCATCAACAGCTTTGCGGCTTGGCTCATTGTTGTTACCGTTGTTGTTGTTGTTGTTGTTGCTGCTGCTGTTTGGCCTGACAGCGCTTTCATTGCTATTAGCAGTTGACGCCTCCTGGCTTAACTTTGCCTCGTCAGCGTCTTTAGCCTCAGCTGCTGCCTCATCGTCCACATCATCATCATCATTATCATCATCATTATCGTCTTCATCATCGTTATCATCATCATCATCATCATCGTCATCATTATCATTGCCTTCATCATCATCAGCTGTCTGCTGTGCCGCCGTTGAGCCCTCAGTCTCTGCCTCAGTCTCGCTTGCCTCGGTTTCTTCCTCAGCTGCTGCCTCTGTCGTAGGCTCCAACTCGTTGTCATCTGCATCAGCTTTAACTGCATCTGCATTGACTGCTTCTTCTTCTTCTCCTTCGTCGTCGTCTTCTTCTTCTTCTTTATCATCATCATCATCATCATCTACATTCACTTCATTGTCACGGTCATTGGCAACTTCAGCTACTGTCGTTGTCGCATCCTCCTCAGACTCCTGCTCAGCTTCAGTTGCTGCTCCTGCTGTTGTTGTTGTAGATGCTGCTGTTGTCGTTGTTGTTGTTGTTGATGTTGTTGCTGTTGCAGCTGGCGCCTCGTTGGCTGTTATTGAATTTGTAATTGTTTCAATTACTTCGTTTTGCTTTAGGTCGCTCTCGCCAGCATTGTCAACGTCGAGCTGTGCTGGCGCCGCCGTCTCCTCCTCCGCCTCCTCCGCTCCCTCCTCCTTTGGCACCGTCTCCTGCTCCGCAACGTCATCGTTGCTATCGCCGTCGCCATCACCATTACCAACGCCATCAACTTCACTGTCACCTTCACCTTCACCATCAGCGTCAGCGTCAGCGTCAACATCGCCGTCATTGTAAGTCGATGACACTGCCAGCTCTTGATCCCCAGCCATGAGCATTTCACTTTCAATTGGCAACGGTTCGGGCTCCGCTTCGGCCTCGAGCTCTGCGCTGGGCTGTGCGTATTTCTGGTCATCCCGGTCGGCATAGTCATAGTCCTGCACATCCTTCGCACTGTCATCCTCCGCCGCATCTTCATCCTCAGCTTCAGCCTCCAAGCTGCTTGCGCTCGGCACCACGGGATTGCCATTCTTGTCCACATACTGGACGCCATCGACGCCCATGCGCATGCACTGGAAGTGCATCTCGAAGAGATCGGTGGTGGCCAGGCGCACCACGAAGTCCATGCACATGTTCAGGTTGTTGCCCACCATGGCTATGTCGGTCATCTGGACGCACATGGCCATCGGCACGCCCATCATCACGGGTATGCAGAAGGGCGACGGATTGCGCAACGATATCCCATACTTGGACGAGGGCCGCTCGTTGAGGAACACCGCCAGCTGCGCCTCCTCCAGGTGCGGCACGAACGTGACGTTGGCGCAAACTGCAATTAGAGAAAGAAAGTAACAGTTAGTCCGAAAACAACAAACGAGAGCAACTGCGCGAGAGTTTCTCGCAGTGCAATGAAAGTTGCGGGTGGAAGTTTGCGATTCCAATTGGATTCCAACTGCGAACAGAGCAGAGCGTAGAGCTTTGAGCGCCAACATGCAAACGATTTGTGGCATTTTGATTGGCAAATGCAACCATGTCATGTGACTGGCAACAATTTGTTGCACTTGCCGTTGTCGTTGCTGTTGCTGCTATTGTTGCTGTTGTTGTTGTTGTTGTTGTTGTTAGCTTGTCTATCGGTCTGTCGACCTGGTTGATGGCTCATGGCAAGAGTGCAGACGCTTCAATCAAACAGCTGGACAAGTGGAGCAGCAGCTGGGAGTATGTGTGTCAGTGTGTGTCTACGTACCCTTCTGGTCGAACATGTAGTGATCCACCTTGAGGCCGGCGCAGCAGCCACAGCGCGGCCCGAGGCACTCGCAGGGCTGGCCAAACGTCGACCAGATGGAGCCCTTCTCCGAGTACTTGACGCTGGCCAGGTTGCGGCCGCGCGACACGCTCACCGTCGGCGGCAGGTACGGCGTGTGCGTGGCCAGCTCGTAGAAGATCAGGCCGTTGCTGTAGCTGCGTGCCGCGGTTCCAGGCAACAGCCGCAGCCGCAGCAGCAGCATCGCGGCAGCGCAGGCGCAGAGCCAAGAGAGCGGCGCACTTGAGCGGAGCATTGTGTTTGACTGGATTAGGCTGGAGCTGTGTGTATCCTTAAGGCTTGTCACAATTCACAGAGCAATGCACAATAAAAAAAAAAATAAAACTATTTCAATAATTGTTGCTGTCTGTGTTTTTGTTGTTGTCTATTCACTTAAAAAAAAGGAGACGCGCGCGTTGACTGAGACCGAACGCTGAACGCTCGACGTGTGAATCGCTGTTGAATTAATCAACCGTTCGCGAGCGACGAGAATTAAATATTAAAACGCTGAGCGCGTCGAGCGTTTGCTTAAAAATGAAATGGAAACCGCCAGCCAAAGCGCCAGCAGCAGCAGCAGCAGCAGTCGAGGCAGCGACGCCAGCTGAAGCAGAGGCAGCGCCACCGACAGCAGCAACAGCAGCAGCAACGACAACGACAACAGCTGCAGTTGTGACTCTTTTTTGCTTTTGTTCGCAAGGTATTTGAATACACTGTCTTAAGCTTATCTAGATACATTTGATAAATATATTACATATATATTTTTAATTTGTTTATATAGTTTCAATCCATTTGCTTTAACACGTGCGCCAAATTACAGATCAAGTTGATTTCAGTTTTCCACCTATTTTCCGCTCATGCGGAAGTCTCAGGTTGGAAACCCTACAGGAAGACCTTTCCATGCTCAGCCAGATTTTAGCAAATTCTCCAATCTATTAACATTTGCCTGGCAACTCGCACAAGTTGCGAAGAAATATTTTGCGCCTCATTTTCACACTTGCTGAAGTTACGTAAAGTAAGTGGGAAATTATGTATATATACATATATAAGCCCAAGACCTGAATTATCACTCTTATATGTGATTTGATAAAATATCGCTTTTATTAATTGGGTTTCTAAAAAATCGTATTTAATAAGTGTAGCGGGACACACTTATAAATTTCTGAATTATATCTTGTAAGGCTATGAAATATATCGAATTCAGATAACACAAGTTAGGAGCTGCAAGAGTTAAGGGATGTTATATCAAGAAGACGTGTTTCATTCGACCTACATTATCTGCTAGCCTTTACCAAAGGTCGTTTCCTTTGGAGGCTTTCATCTTTGAGTTGGTTAGACTGCCTTATTTTTTTAATTTTTTTATATGGATAGACCTACACCAGAGCTAAAGCGCATCTTGAGTTATCATTCAACGTTTCGATCTACAATAGAAACCATTGTCGCATTTAGGGATAGTTTTTTATGATGTTTTCAATCAGAATTTTATCTAGAGAAAATTGCTGCTTGAATAAATTTGCTATACGAAAAACATTAAATATTTTTGGAGGTTTCATTTAGTTATTTAATTTAATATTTACGTAAAAACTATGATCTCGTTCGTCTTCTGCGTCTGCTTAAGCTATTGACGATCATCACGCTCAAGTCAACTATCGACAGCGTCATAGTCATCGATAGATGTACATATGTATATCTATTGATAGTCAACCAGAGTCCTTTTCCATCTAACCTCTTATAGCCTACTACAACATAGAGGAGAACGACGTTCGAGGAACCCTCGTTAAACTTGGAAGACGCTATAACCAATAAGTTCATCTGCGGACCGGATTTTCCATCCCAATAACTATATCAACAGTATAAGCAGAGTACTAATAAACGAACTATCTGTGTCAATGTATTAGAATATATTAAATATAATATAATTCTTTGATATCTATCATAGTTACTATATCTAAAAGATTTGCAGTTCTCAACATACTGACGTACTATGATCATATATGTAAACCTAGATCCAGATCTTTAATAAAATTTTCTTATACATACATACATACATCTAGTGTAATTCTCTGCAGAGTTCTTCTGCTGCTCTGACTTCGTGTTGAAGTATTTAACTTGAGCAACTGAAAGAGAGAGAGAGAGAGAATTTCATCGTCGACTTGTGTCTCGGCTGTGAAGCTTTCTTGTTATCAGCATGCTGAAATCGTCGAAGCCGACGTCGCCGTCAACTGCGCTGCTTTTGGCTGAGGTTTTTTTCTGTCTTTTTTTGGCTTTGGGCTGCTGCCGTTTTTTGTTGTTTGTTTGTCTTCTTGACTGCTGCTGCTGTTAACTGTTAACTGTTGCGAGTGCTGCTGCTGCTGCTGCTGCTGCTGTTTGGCTTTGTTGCGTGTGCCGCGTTTTGGGTGACAGTGACAAGAAAATTGCGCCGGTCGTGACTTGCTGGGAAAGCCAAAAATGCTGCCGCTGTCGCAGCTGGCGCCGTTGCTGGCGCTGCTGGCGTTACTATTGCCATGGCTGTTGCTGTTATGCAAAGCGCTTGCGCACTTGGGTTAGGTCAGGGAGCTAGCGGGTTCTGCCTAACAGAAACCAAATGCCAGCAGAGCCAAACCAAACAAAAAGGAAAAACAGAAAATGTTGCGCTTGGTGGTAAAAGCGAACGATTTGTGTACAAGCGTTGGCCGCTTACATTGCTGATTTATCAATGGAAAGCAGTGGCATTGTTTAGGCCATTTTCGCTGCCAATTTCGCCAGCCAACAAGCCAGTGCCAACTAGCTAGTCAGCCAGCCAACCCGCCAGCCGACCAAAGGGTCTTTAAATCCAATCGCATTAAGCGCAACGCTGCGATTGCATAATGAGTCAGACTTGCTATCCAGCAACACCCCTCGAGCTGTCGCGCTACCAAATCTTGTTAAGCGTTAAGGGGAACGCAGCCGGGCTTGGGGTTGGGGGCCGACGACTCCAGAGTCAAGAAAACGTGCATAAAGTAAGCCCAGCGCGACTTACAGATACCCTCTAGATATAGGAGGAGGGGACTGAGAGAGCTAACTGCAGAACGTGTTCTTATTCATATTTATATTCACGTGTTCTAACTCATATTTATATTCATATTCATATTCATATTCATATTCATATTCATATTCATATTCATATTC